ACCCACAGCTCCAGCTGAAATAATGGGAACTGCAGGTGCTGAGCTCTGCTAGTTCACGTATCTTGCATGCTCTATAAAATTCAGTGTGCCACAATTATTTTGTGGCCCTTCCCCCTTCCACAACATGCCCCCACTCTCACCTCCTAGCTGCTGGGAGGAAATGGAAAGGATGTCTGCTGTCCAGGAGAAAGCACTTTTATGAGTGCAACACGAGCAGTCTGCCTTAACCTGCAACCTCCATGAAGGCCACCTCAGGTGCCCCCAGACAGGCGGATTTGTTTTAATTGAAAGAAGACTGCTAAATCTAGGCAACCTTTGCTTTATGAAGTGCCCCCAGGAGAAGCTGCTTTGCTTGCCTACAATGCAGGTTCTCACAGTGGATTAGCTGCTTGATAGTCTGACTAGCACAGGGGTCTCAAACTCAAATGACCATGAGGGCCACATGAGGACTAGTACATTGGCCCGAGGGCCGCATTACTGACACCTCCCCTCCCCCCCGCCGCCCTCGGCCCCGCCCCCACTCCACCCCTTCCATGAGGCCCCGCCCCTGCCCCGCCTCTTCCCACCCCTTCCCTGCCCCCATTCCAACCCCTTCCCCGAAATCCCCACCCCAACTCTGCCCCCTCCCTGCCCCCAGGGGGTGCAGGAGGGGTGTGGGGTGTGGTGGGGGCTCAGGGCAGGGAGTTGGGGTGTGGGGTGCAGGAGGGGTGAGGGGTACAGCAAGGGGTCAGGGTGCGGCAGGGGGTTCAGGGCAGGGGGTTGGGGTGCAAGAGGAGTGCGGGATGTGGCAGGGGGTTCAGGGCAGGGGGTCAGGGTGCAGGGTGCGGCAGGGGGCTCAGGGCAGGGGTCAGGGTGCAGGAGGGGTGCAGGGTACGGCAGGGGGTCGGGGTGCAGCATGGGGCTTAGGGCAGTGGGTTGGGATGCAGGAAGGGTGAGGGGTGAGGCAGGGGGTCAGGGTGCAGGAGGGGTGCAGGGGGCTCAGGGCTGGGGGTTTGGCTACAGGAGTGGTTTGGGGGGCAGGATCTGGCCCGGCGCGTACTGGGGGCAGGGCAGGCTCCCGTGGATCCCTGTTCCCGGCCAATGGGAGCTCCTGGGGGCGCTGCCTAAAGCAAGAGAAACACACAGCCCCCCACCCTCCCTTCCCCACGTTCCAGCCTCTTCCCGGAGCTGCGCAGGGCTCGTCCTGTGCACGTCCGGCTGCCGCTCTGGTAAACACTGCGGGAGGGGGGCTGCAAGGGGCTCACGGGCGGCCCTCATGTTTGAGACCCCTGGACTAGCAACTCTAATGTACTGCACGAGCACGCATTGTTTGTGAGCAAAGCAGCTTCTCCTGAGAGCTCTTCATAAAGCAAAGGTTGCCTAGATTTACCACAAAGGGACATTATGCGCTCAAGAGCAGGACATGGCAAAGCCAGAGGCAGTGTTAGCACTGGGGGATAGACCTGCAAAACACTTTTGGCTGCTGCCACCTACCCCCATTCCCACAAAACCAACTCCTTACCACCTGCGTGCACAATTTCTCACCCCCATGCCCAGGTCTGGCCTGAGCCTTTCGAGAAGGGTTAGCGAGACTATTTGGGGGGCTCCTCCCAGACTGACCCATTTTATACAGGCAGTGTAGATGTAGCTGTGTCAGTCCCAGGATATGAGAGAGACAAGGTGGGTGACGGAATATATTTTATTGGACCAACTTCTGTTATTGAGAGAGACAAGTTTCCAGCCATACAGAGCTCTTCTTCTTCCCGCTGAAGAGCTCCATGAGGCTTGAAAGTTTGTCTCTCTCACCAACAGAAGTTGGCCCATTTTATATATTTAACATGAGGGTGCAAGAAAAAAGTTTAGCTTTACACCACACCGATTTTAACGTATGTTTCCTCATTGACTTGCCAGAGTCCCACAGACACTCTGTGGTGAAGCAGAGACTTGAACCCAAACCCCCGGCTAGTGCCTTACCCTTCCTCTTATTGCCTACTGGTGGTGGTGTCTGTGCATAGTGGGCAAATTAAGCCTCGCAAGGGAAAGTTGTTCAAATGAGCCAGGGGTTTGCATGCTGCAAGGGACTCTGGGCGCCATGCTGAATTACAGCACTCCTGCAGTGCTTTACAGACATTAACTAGGAACCACAATGTGGCAGGTACATTTTGTTATCCCCACTTTACACATTGTGGGAGGGTGTAATCCCAGCACTGAGCCTGACTGCCCCTGTCGCCTAGGTCAGCATTCACTCATGACAAATTTCTGCCCCCACCATCCAAAGCCAGCACCTAGGCTCCCCAGGATTGCCGGTAATCACAAGGACTCCCCAGCATAGGTGGATGGCTTTGGTTTGCCAGGCCTTTTTTATTTTATTTTATTTATTTATTTTTTATGCTACCACGTCTCTTATTAAAACATGAATCTCCAGAGAGGCAGGGAGAGAAATAAAAAGGATCAGTTTCTCCTAGAGGAAAGGAATTGAAGGAGTGTAAGAGTGCACTTGCTGGGCTGGCTTCCAGCTTCCTCCTGGCACAGCTCTGCTTCCCAAATGACAAAGGAAGGAAGAAGACGGGAGCACAGCTGTCCTGGGAGGCAGAGCCCAGCCATTGACATGTGATGAGCAAGCCCTACTGAGAAAGCCAGCGCTTTGACCGGTGACTATTACTGTTCCCCAGGCTGCGGGTGTGAGTGAGGTAGGTACAGGCACAATGTATTGGCAAAGTATAGGCCCCACTGAAAAGAGGAGTTGTTTAGGGTGTTCTGGGGTGGGGGTGGGAGGAAAAACAGTAGGAAGAATAGGTTGAAACCGAACAAAGAAGAATTGGAAAGAGAAGGTGGGTGAGGTAATAAATATCTGTTGGTGAGACAGAAGTTTCGGCTTACACAGAGCTCTTAGAATTGGAGCAGACTAGCAGGAAACATTTGGTAATTAGTGCAGTCTACTGAACTGCACCATGCAAAACACATTTCCTGGCTGCAGAGTTACTGAACCTTTAGAGCCTAAGGAGATCAGTGTGTGAGGAGGTGGGGGAGGATTATCCTGGTTTTCACACACATCCATCAGGGATATAAGCAAAATTTCCATTACAGTGGCTGACTGATCAACAGCCCCAAGGTATAGAAAGAACTACAAGTGGGAAAAGAAGAGCATGTTTGTGTTTGGTTTCAAAGACCCAAAACCAGTCTGACTAGCTGGAAGCCCAGTTTCAGGCTACACCCTTCCCTTTCTCCCTGTGTGTGTTAATGGGAAGCAATCTCATTCCCAGAATGCCTCACATCTAGTCATTATCTATGTAATCAAGCATTTTTGCTGCATTCATCACTATAGTATTTTGTGCTTAACAACTCCCCCCACCCCAACAGTGTGGGCTCATTCCTCTCCCCTGAGGCAGATACCACAGAGCCACTTTAGCCCCATCCCCCAAGCCACTACAACCTGAGCGGGGATGCTGGTGCTGGGGGAAGACTCCTCACTGACATGGAGGACAACATTCCTCAGACACTTCTCTCAAGCCAGATAAAGACGAACAACATTTTATTAAAATCTGCATTTACAGAGGGAGCAAAATCAAGAGTTACACAGGCATGGGGGGTTGTAGAAAAGCACAGGAGGCTGGGTGTGGAAGAGATGATGCAAGGCAGACCAGAAAAACATAAGAGAGCCTGGCAATGGGCAGGTGCTCAGGCAGGCATCTGCATGCCCTTTGCCATCCCTTCAGGAGGCAATTGTGGGTATCAAGCCTGCAATCAGAGCACCAGCAGCTTGGGGGCAGTCATCTCCCCCCACTCATCATCCTCCCAAGAGAGAGACAGCCCTGCTGCACTCACACCCGAGGGGTCCGAGCGTCACTCCATTCGAGAAGAGATTATAAATCACTTCATAACCTTCCCCAGGACATCCACCAGTGCCAGCCCACCACAGCCACAACCCTCTGGGGACGGGTCCCACACGCTTGTGTCCAAACATTAATAAAAATAAAAATCCTGTACATTTAAAATTTTTAAAATTCATAAAAGAAAATGATCCAGGTTACCACTTCATAGTGGATATTTCCAAAGCAGCAGACATGGGGAGTACAGGCTCCAATCCCAGTATTAATCAGCAATGCTTCAGAAGCATTTCACAGATGACAACTCCTCACCCAACTAGAGAAAGTTGGGTTCTGTTCTAAAAGCAACAGTAGCCTGGACTATTAGGTGCATGGTTGGGGTGACAGGCCCCATCACGGTCACTGAGAGAAGCAGGAGTTTAGAGTAAAGGGCTTAGTTTCTGCCTGGGGTTGGGACTTCGTACTCAGCTACTCAACAAGAACGTGAGTGAGTACAGGGACTAGTGTCTGGGTAAGTTCTCAGAGCCTCATGTAGCTGGTGCTAGACTTCAATGATAGCAGCTGGGCTCATCTTGTTCCAGTCAGAATAGGGATGGGAGAAAAAAGTGGCATGAATAAGAAAACCAGGGAGGTTCGCTTTCCTCTGCACAGCCCGAATTGGGGCTCTCTCAGGTATGTTGATCAGCAGAGGGGCACTCTGGCACTGCGTGTGATTGTCAGCCTCAAAATATTAAATAAAGGAAAATTTACAAAAAAAAAGGTTACAAGCTAACCACATTGGCCTGCTCCAGACAGCCGTCCCCAACAGCAGAGCCAGGCCATCACCTGGGCAAATCCAGAGGCCCATGAGCAGTTTCACCAGAGCTGGGGCTAGTACACCCTGTGGTTTGGGACATGAGACAATGGACCAGCATGCTTCTCACCCTCCCTCCCTCAACTTCACCTCTATCCATCTTTGGAGCATGGGTGGGAAGCTGCTCATTTCTCCATATGTGTCCTCTTCCTCCAAAAAGCCAATCAGGGTCCTTTTGCCAGGATACTACCTTGTTCCCATGCTGTGCTGACTGACCCCTTCCCTGTGGCGGAACTTACCATGAGCAACCAACAGGTGGCGCTAGTTCAGCACAGGTGAAGCAAGGGTACTGACTGAACCTGCCAGGGTGGAAAGGCAACTCTTTCCATCTCCCCCTAGCTAGAAAACTAGGGACACAGCCTTCCATTCACTTTGAGTAAGAATATGCACATTTGCAAAGAGTGTTCAGAGACTAGACTGTCATCCTGAAAAACAGACACATGGCAAGCCTTGAGAAGGGGAAGACAAAGGAGGGCGCATGTAAAACTCGTACTGCAGATCGTTTGGGGAGATATTAGTTGCACATTTCTGTAATATCTGTTCAAAACTCAAACAGCAATCAAAATGTAGACAATCCTGTCTTTCCTGTCATAGGAAGAGAGATCATTTGAAAGACTGGCACATAGTTCACAGCACTGACTGAGCCAGTCACGTGAAGCAATGCAAGCCCAGACAAATTCTCACTGAGACCCCCAAGTTTGGCATTGGGACAGGACCACCTAGGGAAGGTGGTTTGGGGACGGGATGGATATGAGGAGGTGGTTGGATAGACCCAGAGTGGGCAGATTTACATGTCACAGGGGGAAAAAAAAAAAAAAGCTGGCTCTGGTGGGCCTGCAGAAAAATTAATGCCACGTAAAAGTCAAACCACAGCCCCTTCAGTAGGTACAGCAAATCCTTCTGCCGCTCTTGCTTAGAGTGGAAGGCACAAAATCATTCAGAGCTGTGACTGGATTGCTCGAGATGAAGAAGGGGAAAAAGGTCAAGAGATGAACTAAAATCCTTCCCCATACCTTCAGCTTCAAGAGCAACCACGAGCACTTGGGACATGGCTAGTGTCTACTGCCATGCTACAAATATCTTCTAACAGAAAAGGAGGCAAAGAGTCCTTCAGGCATAGGCCTTTGTTTCTAATACAAACAGTACATGGAACTGTGCCCAATCTGAGGGAAGTGCTTGGGGTCAGATGGGTTTGGTTGTACTGTTGTAAACCAGGTGCTCAGTATCCTCTGTGGTGGAGAGGGTTGAGTTGGTAGCAGTGGTAGGTTGGCGTCGCCGGCTGTTCTTCTTTCTATTCTTCAGGAAGAAGTAGCCAATGATGACCAGGACTACCATTATGCAGATACAAAGGAGCACTGCAATAGCCACCTCGAAAGCACCTGTAAGGGGGACACACACAGTTACAAGGGCTGCTCTGCTACTTCTGTTGCAGCATTAACAGGCAGGAAAAAGCAAGAGGTACAGAGCTGGGTCACCACCTGGTGCTGGCAAAGGACATTGTATGAGCGTTCAACAAGGACTAGTGACTGGACAGCGGGATGTTTAGCTCAGCAGTTGGTGGAGATGAAGAAAGAGCATGACTGGATGGCTCAATGAGCTGGTAAGGATATACAGAACCTTTCACTTCCAGGTCATGGTTCAAGTTCCACTCGAGTCAGTTCTCAAAGTTATTACCATCTGAAGGCTGTTCAGCTACTTGGAGGTTGGACATCTGTATTAAACACACAACCTTATCCCCAACACCAAGTGGAGTCTCTGCAGGGTGGCCAAGAGATGGCTGAGCCTAGAGGAGGAACTACTTAGGGGTAATTCCTCCAGATAAGGTAGATTAGCAGGGGAGTGTCAGGAAACTCATAGTACTACTGCCCAAGCTATAGCTGTTCTGTGCATCAGTCTCCAGTGATGTTAATCGGGCGCCTGTCACCAGCACTGAAGTCATTTAAGTTTGGCACATTTGAGGACCGTGGCAAATCTGAGAGGAAGGTTCAGTCTCTGGGACATTGGGAATGGAGAAGAATCACCTTAGGAGCAGTTTGCTCTGGGAGAAACTCTCTCTCAACACAGGTTTGGGATGAATGGCAACTCATGTTAAAATGTGAGTGTTGTATGTTTAAGATCGTTAACTTCAGGCCCATTGCAATTGTAGCTTGGAGAGTTAGTGTTGTTAAACACATACAACCCTGCTCCCATGTGAACCAACATTATTCAAATACCCACCTGTGTCTAGCCTATCCTCAGCTATCCAGGTCAGTGGGGGACATGCCAGCCTGGCTATGAGGGGAGAGTGTCTTCCCCGCTGTTCTTTGATGCCTACAGATTATAGGGCTCTATTCTCTTCTCACTTATACTAGGGTGAATTAGGAGTAACTACAGAGGTTAACTGAGTCACACAGGAGTGAGAGATGAGAAGGAATCCCACAGATCCATTTCCCTTGTCCCATGAAGACCACATTACTTCCTGTAGTTAGATGTGATGTTCCTTTCCCCCCCCCGGTAATGAAGTGCAATACATTCCACGAGACAGGGAAGGAGAGGTCATGACAAACATGTCACTTGAGTAGAATTCTTACTTACTCAAGCCAGCTTGCTGGGTCCCATATGCTCCCCATCTCTGGCCAATCACATCTGCCTCTGCACAGGGAACAAACAAAAACACAGTCTCATGAGAGAGCTGGGAACAATGGAGTGAGACGCCAGCCTCCCAGGACAGTTTCATGCTGGAGTCAAACTGCATACCTGGAATTAACCACCAGAGTATTCCCTTCCAGCATCCCCTCAACCCAGCCAGGGCATTATTGTCCATTTCTTTAATTCTGGCTTCTCTCTTTCTCTACAGATACAGGAATCTGGGGAGGGAAGAGTCTCCCTTCTGACAGCCCCAATAGGGGGAAAATGTGCTCTTGGGGCAGGCCAGGGAAGGATGGTATTGATCCACCCAACACTTCAGAGAAAGAGTCAGAGCAGGAGTCTCTCTGCTTCCTTACTGACGCAGCTCAGTGAAATCCCTTCTTTGGAACCCCCTCCCCTCCCACTCAGACAAGACACAATCTGCACTACATGATGTAAAACTAGCTTCTAGATGCTTGTTTTAGCACATTTGAGCCAACAGTCCCGACAGAGAGGACCTACAGGTTTGGGGGCATGTGTCTCCCCACCACCAAATATCCAGTTTTGCCTCCTCCATCGTTGTACTAATGTGATGACCCTGAAAAGGGCAAACAGATACCCGTGGCCCCTAAACTGGGCCATTTCACTCCAGTGTCAAGAACTATTGGAATTCTCTCTGGCTGGACAGCCAAGAGCCAATGCCTTGCACATCGATATCCAAAATGCTCTTCCAGTTCACAGCAGTAACGGAGCTCCAGAAACTCCCAAGAAAAGTAGGGTGGCCTGGGGGAAATTGTACTGCAGAGTGTTATTTTCTGGGTGCTCCACGTGAGCAATCAGACAGAATGAGGAGCTTTGTGGAGAGAGGCCAGGGTTAGAGAGCAATGCTCCATCTCATGCTCTGCAGAGCTCTGACCTATTTGGAGCCAGGGAATTTAGCTTGGAGGGTTTCACTGTGGTAGAGATGCTGGCCCCCTCACCCCACAGCCCTGCTGCTTACTTGTGATGCCTGCACATGATTTCAGACACTCTTCTTCTTCCTCAAAGTTATTTCGGTTGCCTTCACAGCCCCCATAGGTGAAGCGGTCACATTTCTCGGTGAATGGGTTGTAGTACCAGCGGGGGATGCTCTCTTGGCACATCCCAGTGTCTGGTAAATCCACACAGTGACCTGGCAAAGCAAGAGAGGTGTTCGGGCTCAACCAGCACATTTACACAGCATCCGCGCTTTGTAACTCCTCTAGTGCCCCGTGTGCCACTCTTCAGTCTCCAAGCCACTTTGTGACACCTATTTCCTAGAGTTAGCAAAGATTATCAACATCCGATTGACATAACTGCCAACCAATTGCGACGCACTGGCAACAATCACCCTCACAGCCCCGAAAGTGCATGGGGGGGGGGAGGATGTAGCCAATTAGGGCATTTTAGCAGAGGCTGGAAGAGGATAATGCTGTTCCCATCAGGAGAGAGAGAGAGAGAGAGAGCAGTGCCCCCCCAGTAAGGGCTTGTCTACAAGAGGAATTGACTGCAATAGCTACTCCACCGAATAGCTCTAGCATGTTAAATTCACACCCTACCTTATTCTGAGGTCACTTCCCTGTGTAGACAAGCTTTAAGCATGGCGGCTTAAAAGAAGGGAAAGTCTCCCCTCTCCACAGAGCAGGGAGAGCACTCCACCAATCACTGCAATGAGCAAGAGCTAACGAACCCAACAGCTGCCGTTGGTCGGTTAGAACGGATATTTGAACAGAGAGAGGGTGGGGTAGAGTCCAAAGTTAATCCTGAGGTTCTCATCCATCTAATATTACACCAGTGCCTGGCTGCCAAGGGTTCAAAGTTCACTTAACAAACAGGACACTGCCAAGCAGAACTGCCACTTATCCACAAGTCTCCCCAGAAGGCATCGGAGTGTGGTCTAGGCATCAGGTCTGGCATTAGAACCACACACTCAAATCCTTGCAAAGTTGACTGAGCAATTCATCCTCCCATGTTTAGACAGATGGATGCAGTGAGTGCCATGCAATTTACTGCCTGGGGGAGGATGGGGTGGGAGGAGCTCTCTGGAGGAGCACGGCACTACTTACCGTGTTGAAGCGGTTTTACTCTGGTTATCCCTCCTCTATACTATTCAGGCAATCAAACAGTGTTGAAATAGATTTGGGAAATGCTTTTAGACCCAGTGTCAATGGGATCAGACAGGCACTGACTGGCTTATGCTAGGCAAGAGTCCTTTTCTGGGATAGGCAATTTCCCACTATGCACTACATGGAAGAAGGCTAAACTAGCCTTTCAGGATTTGTAACATACATACTGTGACAGACCCAGACCAGTGGGGTACAGAAGTCTGGTAGAGGGCAAATATACTGGTCACTGGATGAATAGTTTTCTGTTCCCTGAGTGACCAGAGAAGGGGCTGCACTAGAGTAATCAGGAACCTGCCAGAACCAGTTAAGGCAGGCAGGCTAATTAGGACACCTGGAGCCAATTAAGAAGAAGCTGCTAGAATCAATTAAGGCAGGCTAATCAGGGCACCTGGGTTTTAAAAGGAGCTCACTTCAGTTTGTGGTGTGAGTGTGAGGAGCTGGGAGCAAGAGGTGCAAGGAGCTGAGAGTGAGTGCTGCTGGAGGACTGAGGAGCACAAGCGTTATCAGACACCAGGAGGAAGGTCCTGTGGTGAGAATAAGGAAGGTGTTTGGAGGAGGCCATGGGGAAGTAGCCCAGGGAGTTGTAGCTGTCATGCAGCTGTTACAGGAGGCACTATAGACAGCTGCAGTCCACAGGGCCCTGGGCTGGAACCCAGAGTAGAGGGCGGGCCCGGGTTCCCCCCAAACCTCCCAATTGACCTGGACTGTGGGTTCTTCTAGAGGGGAAGGTCTCTGGGCTGTTCCCCAACCCACATGATGAATCTCTGAGGCAAGAAAATCTGCCACTAAGCGCAGGACCCACCAAGATAGAGGAGGAACTTTGTCACAATACCTTGTGTGGTCGTAACATTGATTTTCCGTAGTTTCGTGAACTCTATTGCATCTGCAAAAAGAAACAGCTCATAGGATAGAAACGTACAGTCCCCAGCTCAAGTATGAAACTCCTCCACCCATCCCAAGGTATGTGGAGAGAAAGGTCTTTGTGGGACACTCCCTAACTACTTTCTTCTCCCTTCTGCTAGTATCATACATAAGGCAGGGAAAGAAGCTATAAATCAAGGTCCACAAATATTTGAAAGTAGTTTAAAAAAAAAATCAAAGTGGAAAAGGAATTATGTATGGAAGTGTGACTAATAATAATGGGATGAAGTTAAGGAAGGGAAAGTTTAGGCTCCTTATCAGTAAATACTCCCTGACAGCAAGATGTATTTGACTGTGGAATAGCCTCCCAAGGGAAGGGGGGGAGTCATGTCACTCCAGACTTTTAAAATTAATACTGGTTTGATGCTCAAGAGAGAGGGGAATCACAGAATATATGCAGGCTGTAGGATCCGAAAACAAAGGATCCCAGGAATTATCTGTCATGACACAGAAGCGAGGAGGTGGTTAAGTAGTTCAGCTTTTTGCCATGTCAGGTGCAAGCTGTTAGCAGGACATTCTTGTAATGTTTAAGAGACTGGGAGAAGTCAAGGTGGCAAAAAGTATTTGGAGGTGGTACATGAAACCACGAGACCAGGTAAGGTCACTCAGGAATAAGATATAGAGGGAGAAAAGGACAGAACCCTGAGGGTCACAGACAGAAGGGTAGACTCCAGAGGAGAGAGAGCAGAGGAAGAATCCAGGAGGTAAGGGAGAGTCAAGAACAACGTGATCAGCGGTGTTGGGCCTCTCAAATGCTAGTGACAGGGCAGTGCTGTGAAGATGCTTACATGTGAGAGATACAACTGGGTAAGGAGACCAGAGTACTATGCTACAGTGAGATATATCCATCTTCAGGCACTAAAGTTGGAAAGTTTAGGACCCAGACTGTAAGTACTTACACAGCTCACAATACGCCTCATCTGATCCATCTGCACAATCTGAAGTTTCATCGCATTCCAGGAAACTATCAACGCAGCAGCCATCTCTGCATTTGAAGTGGAAGGACTCACAGTTCCCATTGCACACTGTAATAGACAGATTATGGGATTTTGGGGTGGATGGAAGGGTGTTCACCAGAAAACCCTCTCCTCCTGGCACCCAGATACGTCGTGAAAGGCTTGTGCCTCCCTGTGAGCTTCCTGGGGCATGGGAAGCCTGGACAGTACTCTCTTCAGAGTCCATCAGTGCCTCTCCGAACTTGGTCCAAGGAAGTCAGTGTGGAATGAAGCAACGTGCCTCCTTTCCCCAGGGAGTGAACATGCTGCCTCTTTCATGACTTGGAAGTGCAGAGTGCTAGCTATAAAGCTACAGAGATTAGATTTTTAGTCTCAATAAGCCCCTTTCTCATTCACACTTACTGGAGCACACTGCACATTAGACAGAGAGGTATGAGACGCCTACCTGGCTTGGCCCGCGTTCCAAAAGAACCTTGAGAAAAGACATAAAAAAGCTACATTATTTTGGTGAATCAGAGTCTGTTCTATACTGTCACTATGCCTCCCCCAATAACCAAGGCTACCCTAGCACAACGGCTACCCGGGACAAACATTTTGATTGTTTACCAGAATCCCATATTGCATTTTCCAGGAAGTCTATACCATGTGTGGGGAGGGGAGGTGGGAAAGGTACTGACTGCTCTGAAGTCCCTCCCACCTCACCCCTCCTAAGCCAGTCAAGCTATTCCAAATTGTCTTTCCTGTCTCCATTCCTCTGCCCCCACCTTAAGCTCAATATGAAGCACAGTGGCCTGGAAGAGGCCCCATGAATTCATCACATCGCAGGCTTTGCTGATTGGCTCTTAACAAAGGCTCAGCTGTGCTACTGCTAACAGGTGTAAGGAGAGAGCTGAATTTCAGGCACCTCCAGGGCAAGACACCTTGTTCTGTGGCTACATTTATAGGTAGCAGGAATAGGATTTTGAAAGCAAGTCTGTGGCCACAGAAGTGTAGTAAACACCAGTCCCTGAATGAACTTCTTTCACACCATGATGAGGAACGTTGACTAAACAGAAACTTCAAACTAAATACCAAGTATATGCCAATCAATGGAACCATGAGATCCCACTGACCCAGGGGTTTCCTCTATAGATGGACTCACCTTGAACATTCTTGCAGGCAAGTTTACACTCTTCCTCCCGTACGTAGTTATTCTTGTTGGCCTTGCAGCCCCCAAAGGTGAATTTCTCACATTGCTGAGACGCTGGATTGTAGAACCAGCGGGGAAAGGACCCACGGCACCGACCCACCTTACTAGGAGCCAAGCAGAACTCTGGAATGTAAGAAAGGTACCCCAATGCAAAAAGTCTGCATACGAGGCTGGAGCTCATTTTACTTCAACTCCACAGCTGGAGTATGGATGCTTGGCCTTGCTGAAATATCAGAAAGTGAGCTGGATCAGCAGCAATGACTGCAGCTTGCTACCAAGGGCGGAATCAAGCACTAGCTAATCTGGCACCAATTCTCCCATCTTCGTAGCCACAGAGGGAGGGCAGGAGCAGGCACTGGTGGCTTGTGGGAGGGCTAGGGGGGAGTTCTCCCAAAGGCTACACATCTTGAGCTCAGTCCAAGGAGGTTCCGCCTAAAAATATTTTCTTGTCTGCATTCTAGGGAAGTCTATTTACCGTGGGGAGGGAGGACACCTCTGCTTAAGGCACTGGTGCCAAATGGCCACCAAGAACCCACACTGCCTCGTTGATGCATAGCTCTGAACATCTTGATTGCCAGGTACAAGTCCTTTGTAACAAATTTGATAATCAAATCCATGGCCATTTAGGATTTCACACTGACAGCTGTCACTGTGCTGCACACCATGGTTATTTGGCACTTCACAGTGTAAGCAAGGAATTAAAAACCACACACACACACACACACCTCTCAGGTACTGCTTCTCCAAAAGCACAAGCTCTTACCTGAGCTAAAGGACAATCATTGTAAGGTCTATGATATAGAGCTGATCAGTTTTGGTCCCATCCGATAAAGGGCAGAGTCTCACACACACAGTCAGTTCATTACCATGTGTTAGTTCTGCATGGGGACTGGAGAAACTGAGACAGGCAGTGGTGGACGGGGAGACCTTATACTTATAAAGTTTAGGCATGGTAGGTTGAATTTTCATCTCGAGAAACTTCATACAGTTATCCTGCCTCCAGTCCCCCAACATATGGTATTCCCATGCACCATCTCCCAGAAGAGTGCTGGTAACATACTTTGTTGCTCTAATAGGTTATCAGCAAGCTATCTTAGCTGGGACCCCTGGAGATTCTAGTTCAAAGGTCTATCTGGGTAGACTCACCTTCAGTCTGTTCAGCTGTCAGGACCATGATTGTGATGTTGGTGGAGTCCTGCTGGCCAGCACTGTCTGTGACAGTGAGCTGGAAGACATACTGCCCCTCCTGCAGGTTGGAGATCTTGGCTTGATCTTCCTCTTCCTTCAAGAGAGCAAAACAAAGTCATAGAAGGAGCTGGCATATCAAACCATAGGGGGTATGTGCATGTGTGTGTGTTGCATCAGGAGAAGAGCTGCTAAGCTACACCTGGAATAGGCTTCCACCCATTGTCATTTTGTAAAGCACTCTGGGATTCTTTACAACTATGGGCTAGATTCTGGCTGCCCATGCCCAAGTGGGCTAAGGGAGGCAGATAACACCACAGCCTCAGCACTGTAGCATGCTCAATCTAGATACTGGTGGTCTTTGGGGCACTACACTTTGGACTAGCCAATAAGCCCAGTAGTGCTACAGGCCCTGAAGATCTTACAGCCAGACAGTCAGGAGGCATGGGTTCTATTCCACACTCTGCCACTGATTTGTTGTGTGGTTTTGAGAAAGTCACTTAGCAGCTTTGTGCCTCAGTTTCCCCATCTGTAACATGAGGTGTGTGTTGTTGTTGCTTACTAGTCTTTGTGTACACCAGCCATGCCATCTGACAGCAGGCATCAATGGGTCCTGAGTCTTGACTTTAATTAGCTCATGTAGCCTTTCAGGCATGGAAGGATTGCAGAATTCGAACAGGGAGAAGCAACTATCCAAGACAGTGATGAAATCAGAGAACATCCCAATGAGAACAGGAGCAGAACTCTAGGGACAAGCCACAGGGATAAGAGCTAGCCCATTTGCAGAAGAGAAGGCTAGCAATCAGAGCATAGCAGAACCAGAGTATGGGTCAGTTACCTCGCTCAAAGACACGCACTAAGAAGCAAAGATGGTTATAGCACTTTATACACTGTTTTCTCTCTCTTCCCCCTCCCGTAGACCACACAGGGGATGAGAGTCTAGGAGCATTCACTGGATTCTTGACTTCCTGTGCTGCAAGGAGTTTCCTGATGGAGAGGAGGAAGGTTAGCTCACTAAGCAATGACAGCACCACTGAGTGACGACAGCAAGGAAGTATACCAGACCCTCGCTAGAATGTGGGATTTGGGATCCATGCGCGGTACTGCATTAACACGGGGACTGCGTTATAGAGGGGACCTCGTTAAAATGAATTGCAATTAAAGTAATTAAATTTGGGATCCATGGCCGCGACCGCGTTATATGCGAGTTTGCTCTATATAGACGCGCGTTCTAGCGAGGGTCCAGTGTATAAAGTATGGAAGATGCATGGGAGAGAGCGGAAGAGACAGAAAAAGGTAGCATATGATAGGAAACTGTCATTCTAGCCCAGCTTCTTCCCTCAACTCCTCTGCCCTTAACTCACTCTAAAGAGGGGCGAGATAGAGAGCAGACACTTGGCTGCAACAACATGAAGAGGGAAGCACAAGGTGACCCGTAAGTTATTGATCACTTGCAACATATTTGGTGTAGACAGCATGAGCCTCTGGGCAAGCAAAGCAGCACGCATTCCGCTCCTTACCTCCAGCACCATAGAGGTGTCACCAAGCAGCAGTTTCCAATCATAACTGACAATCCCATGGTCATCTGAGCTCTCTGTGCCTCTCAGTAACACTGGCTCCTGAGGCTGCACCTTCATGTCCATCCCAGCACGGGCTATGGGAGGCTTATCACCTGGAGAAGAAAGGCAACAAAAGGCTTAGGTAAGAAGCAGAAGGACTGGGGTCTTGTCTCAACCAGGAAGAGGGTGGGATTCCCCCAGACTGAATACATGTGGGTTCCAGTCAGTTAAATAGGAAGATGTTTCATCATTCTGTGTTTGTAAGCAAATCACTGAGACAGCAAAGTGGTGCACGAGGAATGCCGGGTCAGTTTTAAGGGTCTGGAGCAGAATTATTTCTCTTACCTCACCCATCTCCTCCATTATTAAATGTGACTGGTCAGTAATCCATACTGCAGCCAGTCTCTTTGAGCCAATTGCAACTACTTAGAGATTTCACCTGTAGGAAGAAGTATAAGTGACAAGGGAACACCTTGTTCCTACAGCTGTGGACTCCTAACACTCATGAATTTCACATAAACTACAGACACACGATTTAATGTTGGTGTTAGACAAGGAATCAGTTCAACATCTTCTACCAATTAATTCCCTCCAATACCCAACTTAAGGAGACACTTTTGTGGAGGAAGTGGGAGGCAATATAATCCACTTATTCCATGTTTCTATTCAAAACTCATATTGTCTCTGGAGAATATAGCCCCCCCTTGGAAAAAAAAAAAATCTTGCACAGCGTTCAAATGCCATCCCATGGACCACACCCCTCCCTTCGCACCACTAACACAATCTGGATCAAAAGGTCACTCTGGAAAATATAAGAGGCAAAAGTAAATCCTCATCATGGGAACAGGCCAGTGAAAACAGAATGCAGGCCATAAAACTTCACCCAATAATTTCTGCATCAAGCCCAATAATGTATACTCAAATTCAACCACATCTTTTAAGAAGTCATCCAGTCTTGCTTTATAATCCAGCTATGAAAGCCTTATACTGTGCTATAAATGGTTACTATAGAGGGAGGATCAGAATCCAACAAATCTCCAAACTATTCCAATGGTTAATTACCTTCACTATTAAAAACTTACACCTTATTTTCAATTTGAGTTTTTCTAGATTCAAGTTCCAGACATTAGATCTTGCTGTGCCTTTTGCATACTAGATTAAATAGCCCTCTGGCATTAGGCATCTTCTTCCTGAGTAAATTCTTCTAAGCCATGATCAACTCACCTCTTGGCCCTCTCTTCAATAAACCGAATGGAATCAATCTCCTTAAGTCTCTCATTGTGAGATGTATTTTCCAGACCACAATTCTTTGCAGCTCTTCTCTGAACTGCCTCCTATTTTTCCCCTCCCCAAATCCTTTAGAGTGTTGACACAAAAACTGGACAAAGTATTCTAGTAGCTTTGTGAGACCCTACTACTACTCTATATCACCTCCCCACTAAACAATCCTGTTGATACAGCCAAGCATCACATGAACCCTTTAGCCACAGAATTACAGTGGATACTCAAGTTCTTTCCATGGCCACCGCTTGCCAAACCTCACATCCTGGAATTATGGCTTACATTCTATGTTCTTAGATGTAAGACCTTGCATTTGGCTGTATTAAAATGTTTGATAAAAAACTGGGCACAAAAGCCATCCAGAGCACGCTGTATAAGTGACACATCCCTGTAATCAATTTTACTACTCCAGTCTTTGTGTCACTTGCAATCTTCATCAGCAATGATTTTACATTTTATTCCACAGAATTTTTGATCAAAATCATTCATAAAAATGTAGGGCTGGAAGGCACCTGAAGAGGTCAGCTAGTGCCATCCCCCTATGCTGAAGCAGGACCAAGTGTACCTTGGGCACCCCATCTGACAGGTGTTTTGAATCCCCATCTTTGGGGCTTTTTAAAAACAGTTTATGCAAAGCCTCCCTTGGAAGCCTATTCCACTACTTAACTATCCTTATAGTTAGAATGTTTTTCCTAATGTCTAACTTAAATCTCCCTTGCTGCAGATTAAGCCAACTACTTTTTGTCCTACCTTCAGTGGACATGGAGAACAACTGATCTCCATCCTCTTTATTACAGCCCGTAACATATTTGAAGACTTATCAGGTCCCCCCTCAATCTTCTTTTCTCAAGACTAAACATGCCCAATTTTTTAACCTTTCCTCATAGATCATGTTTTCTAAACCGTTCGTCATTTTTGTTGCTCTCCTTTAGACTCTCTCCAATATGTCCACATCTTTCTGAAAGTGACACACCCAAAACTGGACACAGTACTCCAGCTGAGGCCTCAACAATGCCAAGGACAGAGGAACAACTACCTCCCTTGTATTACATAGGACATTCTCATTAATACTCCCCAAAATATTAGCCTTTTTCACAACTGCATCATCTTGTCTGCATCATCTTGTTGGCTTATATTCAATTTGTGATTCACTATAACCTGTAAATCCTTTTCAGCATTACTACCACCTACTCAGTTATTCCCCATTTTGTAGCTGTGCATTTGATTTTTCCTTCCTAAGTATACTACGTTGTGCTTGTCTTTACTGAATTTCATCTTGCTGATTTCAGACCAATTCTCCAATTTGGCAGGGTCCTTTTGAATTCTAATCCTTTCCTCCAAAGTGCTTGCAAACCCTCCCAGCTTAGTGTCATCCACAAATTTTATAAGCATATTCTGCCCTCCATTATCCAAGTCATTAATGAAACTATTGACTAGTACCAGACTCGGGATAGACCTCGGGTGGACCCCACTAGATACCAGTGGTTCACTGTCCTACTAGGAGGGCGTAAGTACCCTTTTAGTCCGGTCTTTCAACCAGCTGTAAACCCAGTGCACCCTTGGGGACGAACTAGCGCGACTCCTGAGCACTCAGCGGGCGGCTGTTGAGGGGTCGTGGCGCGTGCCTCTCCCGCTGCTACCAGCCCTCTTCTCCCCCTCGCGCTCCTCCTGTGGCTGGGCTCAAGCTGCGGTGTGTGCCCTGTGGCAAACCGCGGTCTGTCGCCCCATCTCCAGCACCCAGGAGTTCGAGGAACGTATCCCTGTCTCCGAGTGCTGCTGCTGGAGAGGAGGGAGGAGAACGAGACTGCCCCTCTCAGGGCCCTGTGGCCTGTTGGGACTCCTGTGCTGCCTCCCCGCTAGGGTCCCAAGAAAGCATATGAAAAAGTGTCTCTGTGTAGGCAAGTGTGTGCATGCATGCATTGTATGTGTGTATGTGTAAGACTGTCTTTGTGTAAGGAGGGGCATGTATTGCCACATGCGCATATACCCGTGTGAATGAAATTTGCACCCTAACTCTGACTTTTATTCCTTTTGCTGGCTTGCACACAGAAAAATTGATGTTATGAAATGAACACACACGTTTTATGTCAAGTTTTTAAAAGAGAAGGGAACGCTAAAAGAAATGTATTATTTCTTAAAAAGTGAATGTTGTTGACTAGTAATTGCGAAGGGCCAAAGTATCAGACATTTCTCCCCACCTTTGTCTAGCTACATTATAAACTCTTTGTTGCAGAATCTCTCTCTTTACGTGAATGTCCAGCACCTACCACCCTGGAGCCTTGATCTTAGTTGAGGCCTCTAGGCACTAAACAACAATTGTAATACTAAATAATGTGGAAGTATATTTGTTAGTGCATGTTAGATGCGTACAAGAGAATACACGTGTGTATCTGCATGTAGGTGTGGGAGTCAGTTTCTACACAGGGCCGGCTCCAGGCACTAGCTTGGCAAGCAGGTGCTTGGGGCGGCCACTCCGGAGAGGGGCGGCACGTCCAGCTATTCGGCGGACGGTCCCTCACTCCGGCTCGGAGCGAAGGACCTCCCGCCGAATTGCCGCCGCAGATCACGATGGCGGCTTTTTTTTTTTGGCTGCTTGGGGCAGCCAAAACCCTGGAGCCAGCCCTGTTTCTACAGATTTAATTATATAGGTATATGGACAGGTGTGCATTTCTGTGGTTGTGCTCTATGGATTTGTATTTGGGTTTCAGGAGTGGGCCATTAATGGACCCATTGCAGCTGTACAGAGTTGCCAGATGTCCGGTTTTTGACCAGAATGTCCAGGCAAAAAGGGACCCCGGCGGCTCTGGTCGACATCACTGACCAGACCATTAAAAGTCCGGTCAGTGGCACAGCGGGGGCCCAGGGCTAAGGCAGGTTCCATGCCTGCCTTAGCTCCGCGCGGCTCCTGGAAGCAGCCACCTGCTCCCTGTGGCCCCTGGCTGCCCGTGCCCCGAGTGCCAGCTAAGCAGCTCCCATTGTCTGGGAACCGCGACCAATGGCAGCTGCGCAGGCAGCACCTGCAGATGCAAGGGCAGCGCTCAGAGCCTTACTGGCTGCCCATGCGTCTAGAGGCTGCAGAGACCTGGCAGCCACTTCCTGGGAGCTGCAGTAAGCACCTCCTGGACCCCTCACCCGAAACCCTCTCCCACACCCCAAACCCCCTATCCCAGCCCTGAGCCCCCTCCTGCACCCCAGACCCCTCCCCCCCCGCCGCACCCCCCCCCCCACACACTCCAAACTCCTAGCTCAGAGACCCCTCCTGCCCCCCAAGCCCCTCATCCTTGGACCCACCCCAGATCCTGCACCCCCAGCCAGAGCCCTCACCCCCTCTCAAACCCCTGCCCCAGCCTGGTGAAAGTGATGGAGGGTGGGGGAGAGCGAGCGATGGAGGGAGGGGGGATGGAACGAGCGGGGATGGGGCCTCGGGGAAGGGGTGGGGCAGGGGTGTGCCTGTTTTGTGTGATTAGACAGTTGGCAACCCTAAGGTCAGCAGGAGGTGACATATCTCCAAAGTGTTCCCTTCAGGCAGAACACAACAAAGACCTAGCTTCCTGCCTGGCCATTTGTGTATCAGATGCCTCATTATGTATTTGCATACGAAGCCACAGGCAAAAGGAGAGGAAATCTACAGGACTAAACAAACAGTTTATCACTACAGACAAAGGATTGTTCTGGTCTATCAGAGTGCAAAGCGACACACTGGGTCCTTCACCAAGGAGTAGGGTGGCCAACTTTCTAATTTGTGAAAAACGGATATAACTTAGAGAATTTTTTCACTTCAAGGTCCCAGAAACAAAGACAAGGTTTTCATCTCGAGGCCAAAAGACCAAAA